TGAGCACTGTTACCTCACCGGATACCCCAAGGATTTTAGCCTGCAATTTATTTTTGGCGTCAATCTCGAAGCTGAACATAGAGCCAACTTTTGCAGTGGCCTCATTCTCACATATACTCGGAATTGTTCTGCACTCTAAAAGGATTAAGGAGGTAATTGGGTTCCAATCCGAACGAGGGGGATTAGTAGCTGGGGTTACCGCTTCCCCAACAAACATAGTGCGTACAAGGAGCATCGACGTATCTCTGTTCGAAGAAAGTTCAAGAGTACGACACCTCTTCTTATTAGTCGAGTATTTCCCTTGAAAACATATGGAAGATATTGAATAATATATATATATATATATATATATATATATATTTATATATATATATATATATATATATATATATATATATATATATATATATATATATATATATATATATAGGATACAGTACAATAGAATGGGCCGAACCCTACAAGACCTATATCTATAATATACACTATTATGCCCCCGCAGTTTGAGGGGGATGTTGGCGAATACTCAAACTGGATCTGAAGTCAGAGAATAGAGGATATGGCAGACCCTTAGTGAATATATCAGCGTACTGGTAGCGAGACAGAACATGAAGAACATGGATATGACCAATAACAACTTTGTCCCAGAAAAAATGCAGGTCAAGCTCGATGTGTTTTGTTCGTTGATGTTGAACCGGATTGGAAGACATATATATGGTGCTAATATTGTCACAATATACGAGGGTCGCAGACCGTAAGGGATGGTGAAGCTCTAAAAGGAGGTTATGAAGACAAGATGTCTCTGCTACAGTGTTGGCAACGCCACGATATTCGACTTCAACACTTGACCGAGATACTGTGTGTTGTCGTTTGGATGACCAAGAAATGAGATTATCCCCAAGGAGGACACAGTAGCCAGATGTGGCCTGTCATGTGACAGGACATCCCTCCAATCAGCATTAGAGTAAGCAGTCATGGAAAAGACTGGGGAGGAATAGAGCTGAAGACCATAGTTGAGAGTCCCATTTAAGTAACGGAGAATACGCATGAGAGACTGAAGATGCTGATCTCGAGGGTCGTTCATATACAAACATATCTGCTGAACGACAAAGGAGATATCTGGTCTCGTAAAGGTCAAGTACTGTAATGCCCTCGTAAGGCTACAATACATGGTGGGGTCAGCAACTGGTGATCCGGTGGCACCAATTTTGGCGGAGGAATCAACTGGTGTGCGTGATGGATTACAATTAGACATATTGGCACACTTTAGAAGGTCGGTTGCATATTGCTTCTACGAAAAAACATACCTTTTGAAGAGCGAGTGACAAAGATCCCGAGAAAGTAATTCAGTGGGCCAAGATCAGTCATGGAAAACTCTAGTCCAAGTTTGGTGACGATGCTTTGGAGTAGAGTCGTAGTGGAGGCAGTGAGCACAATATCATCAACATATAAGAGAAGATAAGCAACATCATTTCCCTGTCTAGGTATAAATAAATAAGAGTCGGTTTTACTCTGTTGAAAACCGAGAGTAGTGTCATGTTGGGCAAAACGTTGAAACCATGCTCTAGGAGCCTGCTTTAGACCATATAAGGATCGATGAAGGCGACATACGTGATGAGGGGCATTCGGGTTGGCGAATCCAGGTGGTTGAAACATGTAAACTGTTTCTGTGATGTGACCGTGTAGAAAGGCGTTTTTCACATCTAACTGGTGAACAGGCCACTGTCTGGAAACTGCAATGCTGAGAACAGTACGAATGGTAGCAGGTTTAACAACTGGACTAAAAGTTTTAATACAATCAATACCCAGTTCTTGGCTTTTACAGTTTGCCACGAGACGAGCTTTGTACCTGCTAAGAGTGCCATCTGCATTGAATTTGTGTTTAAATAGCCACATAGAACGAACAACATTAACCCCCGGTGGTCGAGGAACAAGAGACCACATATTATTTTTAATAAGCGCACTATATTCATCATACATGGCATTTTTCCAATGTGGGTCTTGAAGGGCATGGATGTGATTTTTTGGAATAGGTGAGAGTGTGTCAGTGTGAAGGTTCAAACAATGAATAGGTTTAACGATACCCGATTGAGAACAAGTTCGCATTGGATGTAGGGGAGGAGGAGCTGTCGAGGGCAGTGTAGTGGTGGTGGTTGGCGTAGGCTAAGTTGCTGATGATGATGAGGGGGAGGTGTCAACAATGGCAGAGGAGATGGGAGAGGGAGTTGGCAGTGTCGAAGAGGCAGTGCCTGCTGTAGTAGGTTGTTGAGGGTTGAGAGAGGTTAGGTGACGAGTGGCAATGGTATTTGGTTTGATTTTGGAATCAAGGAAAAGGTATGAAGGAGGGTTATTTGGTGTGATGGAAGCGTAAGGGAATGTTTGCTCATCAAAGGTAACATGACGAGAGAAAATAACCTATTTGGTGTGAAGGTCAAAACATCAAAATCCCCGGTGATTTTTGGGATAGCCAAGGAAAATGCAAGGCAAGGATCGAGGAGCAAGCTTGTGAGAAGCATGAAGGTGGGGGTAGCATAGGCAGCCGAAAACATGATGGTGATCAAATGAGGGTTGTTTGTTATATAGTTTGAAGTAGGGTGTTGAGTTGTTGATGGATTTTGAGGGGATTCGATTGAGAAGATGAGATGCCATATGAAGCGCCTCAACCCAAAATGTGGGTGGAAGGTGAGCTTGAAACATTAAGGAGCGGATGAAATTGTTAATAGTGCGGAGCATGCGCTCCGATTTACATTTTTGTTGGGACGTTTGTGGACACGAGAAGCGGAATCTTATACCGTTTTGGTCAAAGAGATTGCGAAGGGTATTGTTGTTAAACCCCCCCTCCCTGATCACATTGAAAAGCTCTAATTTCAGTGTTGAATTGAGTTTGGACATGGGCACGAAAGTGTAAGAATTTGGAAATAGCGTCACTTTTCCGTCTCAAAGGATAAACCCAAACATAATGAGAAAAATGGTGAAGAAAAATGATATAATCTTTTAGACCACTAAGACTAGCAATGGGAGATGTCCAAATATTAGAGTGGATAATATCGAAAGGAGCACCAAAAATTTTATTAGAGCTAAAAAATGGAAGACAAACGTGTTTGCCTAATTGACAAGCATTGCAAAGAGAATGAGACATAGTCTTATTACAAGAAATTAAATGACTAGAAATCATAAAACGAAGCACTTCATTGCCGGGGTACCCAAGCCTTCGGTGCTACGTAGATGGACTTGGTGACAAACAACTTGAGGAAAATTATTGAGGTGATGGAAAGGTTAGAGCTTGCCAGTGCTATCACAACGGATGAGGATTTGATTGGTCAAAGGATCCTTCACAGAAAAAACATTTTTTGTCAAACTCAATGGAACAATTATTATCGCGAGTAAACTTTCGTACAAAGATAAGGTTTTTAATAATATTTGGTGTGACAAGGACATGATTTAGGTGTAGAGTGCGAGAAGGTGTAGATAAAATGCCATGACCCATGTTGGTGATGGGTATTGGAGACCCGTCACCAACAAGAATTGATGAAAAGGGACGCGAATTAAAAATAGTACGTAAGTTACCCGTATTCGACGAGAGATGCTTGGTAGCATCGGTATCCATAAACCACTCCGAGTTGGACGGATATTGTAAATTCATTGCCTGAAAAGCTTGTGGGAGGATGGTGGGCTGATCCTGGAAGTTATTTTTGGGCTAGGTAGAAAGACAGCAGGCTGTTGGGCCTGTTGTTGCTGTTGATGACTTGGTCCAGAAGAAGAGCCAGCAACCCATGGTGGATAGGGCTGTCGATGTGCTTGTTGACCCAAGGCCCACATCTGTTGCCAATTTAGGGCAGCCCAAGGAGGGGGATAATACGTGTTCCAGGATCCCCACGCAGAATTCCCACCTGAGTTGGAGCGACGATCTTGCTGTCGCTTATCGCTGCCACGCCGACGATTATTTTGCTGTCGGCAGTCGAACTGTTGTCGCCGGTCACCACCATCGTTTTGCTACCGGTCTCGGTCTCCAGGACGAGGCTGATGTGACGGATTTTGAGCATCAATTATGGAAATAAGAGCATCCGGTGAGGAGCTATGATCAGGATGGGCTGCTGTAGATGAATGGGGACGCAGGAGGCATGTTTTTTCAACCATCAGCATGGAGCGAGCTTGTTGGAAAGACGGAATGGGTCGTTGATGACGAATGATGCTTGAGACATTTTTGAACTTATGTACAAGGCCATTAATCATGTAAATGACTAGATTCTTCTCAGGCACGGGCTGATCAATGTTGGCAAGAAGGTCTGAGAATACTTTGATTTTGTGGTAATAGTCGTGAATAGACATGTCTCCGATCTCGATTGACCAGAGGTCTTGGTCGAGTTGCATTGCACGGGAGTCTTTGTTGTCTCGGAAGAGATCTTCAAGACCTTTCCACAAATCATATTTTATCATTCCAGGTTTCAAAACCATTTGGAGTCAGGATTTGTGAGTAGTGCCGAAAATCCAAAGCTTGACAAGATTGTCAATTTGCTCCCATTTGGAGGTCATAGCTTGAGACGCAGGTTTGGAGATGTGGTGTTTGACACCAAAACTGATGCAACAGGAAGTAAATAGCTCACACCAGGTGTCATAATTGAATTCTCTGAGGTCGAGGGTGATGGGAACATAGTTCCGGATGTTTGTGATACCGAAAAGTTTATTAGTAGCATCCGTATTGACTTCGTCTCTAGCCATGGAGGGAAGGTAGGGTCGGCCACAGGTAAGAAAAGAAACGAAAAGGAAGGAAGAAGATAGGACCGAGAAGGAAAGAATCAAGAAGAAAAAAGTTAGATATTGACTATTGGCTGTGATACCATATTAGTCGAGTATTTCCCTTGAAAACATATGGAATATATTGAATAATATATAGGATACAATACAATAGAATGGGTCGAACCCTACAAGGCCTATATCTATAATATACACTAATACTTCTTAGATGACCACCCAATTTCATTTGCTTGGTTATTTGAGGTTTAACCATTTGAAGGTGAAGTGTGCGATTTAAATGGGAAAGGACCAAAGCACCTAGATTGGGCGAAGTTTGAAGGAAATGGGATAGGCCTAGGAGAGCCCATGAGAGATGAATATGTACCAATTTCCGTGGTTTTGGACTGATTCCCTATAACCCGACCAGATTCAATAAGTTTTCCGTCACATGTTTCATTTACATTAATTACCTCAGTTTCTGCATGGGATGGTTCCGCTTCCCCAACACCAGTCGGCGGTGGAGCCTTTTGGGATTCCAAGATTATCGGAGATGCTTGATATGGATTGATCGGATTATCATTCTGGTTGCTAGAGTATACATCAAACCCATCACAATTATGATTCCTTGATTAATTCATGTACTTTCCATCCCCAACTATTTTTCCTTCTTCAACACCGTCCATCGAGGTGTCTGATATGCGTTCCTCTTCTTCGCTTGAGATGCCATCATCATCGCCTTCTGCCACAGTTGTTGAATAGTCGGATTTGTTATCAAAATTTGATTCATAAGTTTGTTCATCATTATCGAACTTAAAAGGAAACCATGGTTCATCTTCATATTCAACCACCCCCACTTCAAATGTCTTTCCAACAACCTCAACCTTGATCACATCATTTTTTTTCTTTTCTTCTGTAAAAATATCGATTTTTAACATCGATAGATATATTCTTTCCACGATATGATTAAAAGGGACAATGATTTTCCTAAATTTCCTTACAATGGCAGAGAAGTTTGAGTCGCTCCCTAGGCTGATAGGCAATCCAACAATCCTTACACTTGCAACCCAATCAAAATTTTGATCAATTTAATCCTATGATTTCATGTAATTAAATATGTTTTTCCAGTTTTGTTCATTATTCATAAAGTCCCTGGCTAGAGTTGAGGATCCAAATGCAATAATTGCCCTCATATTGCCTGCGTATTTGACTTTTGCCCCGATGTCACTGTGAATGGATAGCAATGCCGACAGATGACCTAAGTGATCTAGTGACTTCACCTTACCGATCAGGGTATACCCACTCATCCATATCACCATTCATCAACCTCTAAATGGATCGAAGTGTTGCTTGTGGGCGTATGCTTTTTGAGTATTGAGGCCCTCCCAACAACCGGGATTAGGGTCTTATCAAGACGACTTTTCCCATTTATACTGCTCTGGGGGAAAGATTTCTTCAACTTCTTTCATGGTGTGCTATATTAATCTCTAACTTGTTGCTCCAACATACTGTGCCATTTAAGTGTGTCTCCAGTAATTACTTAAATGAAATGCCTATAAAGCAAATGAAACCAAAGTTCTTTCCGTTCTTCCCTTTCCTCCCTCCAAAGTAAACATCTGACAGCTTACCATGGAAATTGAATATTCTCCAGAACTCCTCTTTTGTGGCGCCTGTGGGAATATTCGAGACAAAGTAGCTTGTTTTGTAAGTTCAAGATTGTTGCCTCGCCAGAGTTTTCCATTATCGTACCTCTGTACATCCGTCTCCCATGGTATGGAACAATTAATCTTTATTTCGGGTCCATGTAACCTTTGATTTTTAACGTGAGTTATCGGAAGCTTATATCCATTATTATTAATTTTGTGTTTTGAAAACTATCTAACATATACATGATTGTTATTTTTTTATATGTGCATATACTTGTTTGTATTTATGAAACATAATTTTTAAAGTGATTTATTGTAACGCCTGTGTTTCTGGGCTTGCCATTTTTAGCAATGTAATAGTCTAGGTTAACCTTTGTAACTCAACTTGAAATAATAAGAATGTATTATTTGTGAATTATGTGATTTATGTGTTTATTTTCTTGATTTTTATAATTTAATGAATTAAGAATGAAATAAGCGTCAAAATTAAAGTGTGAGATACACCCGATATCTTTGCATAAAGTTGTAGTGGTCGAAACAAGGATTCCGGAGATATAAGGAATGCCAAAATCCGAGTTATAACGAAGAAGTTATGACCTGTCGAAGTTTCGAGACAGAACCGGCACAACGCCGAGTGACGTAAAATATGAATTTACGTTAGAGCGATATTTAGCCTTAGTGATCTAAACGAGAATCGAAGATCTCGTTGTTAGTATCAAAACGATAAAAAGTTAGGCGAGAACGGACGTCGAACGAAGAAGTTATGATTTAACAACGAAGTTTTCCTGTCCGAGCCTTCTAAAAATAAATAATAAAAATAAATTCAAAATTAGCCGACGGAGTCTAAACGAAAGTTGTAGATCGTAGTCTCACCTTTCCGTGGATATAAGGAACGTCGAAAACGGAGTTCGTATGAAGAAGATATGAATTTCCGAAGTTTATTAATTAATTTATAATTATTTTTCGGAAGCATTATCCGAAGGCGAGTCACAGATCTTATCCGACTTACGCGCCGCGTAAGTGAGTACGCCCCGCGTACTCCGAAAATGTCGACATCGCAGCAAGTGGCTTCGGATGACGCAAGCGCTTACGTCTCTGAGGCAGTACGCCCCGCGTACCCCGAAGTTACGCCCCGCGTAATCCCGAGGTTCAGCAACTATAAAAGGAGGTCCGAAGCAGCCGAGTTTTCTTTTACAAATTCTTCATTTTCTCTCATCTTTTGCCTCGATTTGCGTGCCGATTCCATCCCGAAGCCCCGGTAATATTCCCGAGTCCCGAAGCGAGTCCCGAGATCCCGAAGATCCCGAGAAGTGCGGTTTCCGAGCCGAAGCTCTGCCCGCGAGAAGTTCGATTTTGTAGAGATCTTCCAGATCTGCGGAGGATTACTACTTCTGCAAGCCGTAGTGCTGCCCGATCATCTTCTGATCAAGTGAGTGTGTAGTTACTTTCATTCCAACACAATATTATGAAGTATTTCCTATAAAATACGTGTTATGTGTATATATTTGGTTGTTATACGTGTGAGTGTATATTCACTCTCTTCTATCTTATAGATCTGAAGTATTCTCTATGAAATACGTGTTATGTGTGTATGCCTCATCTGTTATGTGAAAAATGTTTTGATTGAGCATGCTATACAGGTTTTGAAACTATGTATAAAATGTATTTTTATCTACTAATATGTTGGGTAGAACATGGGTAGATAGTTGGTGTGTAATAAACAGATGAGAGGCCTCGTTGTTGTTTGATCCAGTCATCTAGCGGAATTTAGATGACGACCACGGACTTTTCTAGATAGTCCAGTGGAACGCTAGCAGGCTCATAACCTGTAGGTGTTAATGAACTTGGGTGTTCATTCGCTGTATTCCATCCCCCCATGGTTGCCTTATTTGACTTATATTGCTGAGGAACCCCCGAAGCATGTGTAGTCGCCCCGATGAAATATTCTTAGACTAGGTCCCTTGTGTTAGTTATTTTAGGGACATAAAGTGAGAATAACGGGAATGGGTAACTGGGTTATTGTTGGTTGATAATAATTAATTTAATTATTTATTGTGGGTTGAAAACCCTATATGCTCACCAGGCTCCCAAGCCTGACCCACTCAGTTGATTTATTTTACAGGAAGTGGCGCAAGAGCTTAAGATGGGCGAACATCAAGTTGTTTTGTTTACAAGTCTGTATATGTATATATTTGTTGAAAGACTTGTAATGCTATCGTTTATGCTTTATGATCTGTATCGGAACATGACATCCCGACTTTTGATTATGAAATGAAATCATATTTCTTTATGAAATGTTTTGATAAATAACTAGTTTTATCATGTTTTGTTTTTGGGAACAAATTCCGCATCTCTTTTAAAATTAAAAGGATTTACTCTGAAAATTATTTTAAAAAGCATAAATGAAATCGGTCTTTTCGGGCCGAGATTTTGGGGATGTCACAGTTGGTATCAGAGCATTAGTTTAAGCGAACTAGGAATTTGTAGGATTTCTAGACTTAAACTTAGAATGCTAAGTGGAATTTTGAGATGTGTCTGTTATGTTTTAAGACACAAGCACTAGTTTATTTTAGGAAAGTTGCCTAAAATGCTTTATGTGCTAAATGTTATATGTTGCCATATATGATATTATTTGTTCGGATCTATGGTCTGTTGCCGACCGGATCTAGAAACCTTATGTGTGTAGGATTCTAAGCGTACGTCTACGATATTAGAACTAGCATGTAAACGTTTCGGAGTGATAAGGATGATTTGAATATCTATCGTGAATAAGGATCTAATTTCACCTTATTCGGTGTGTAGATCAAAAATGGTGAGAACAAGAAGTGGAGTTGGAAATGCTGATGAAAATAGGAATCAACCACCAGTGATTGAACAAAGACCTGTTGTAGCAGCAGCACCTGAGCCAATAACCATGGCTGGTGTGCAATTGATGATTCAGACGATGTTGGATCGTCAGATGGAGGAAACTAGACGGTTGCTTCAACAAAATCGTGAAGAACTGTCGATTCGTGTGGAAGAGCCTGAATTAAATGAAGGGCACTCGGAAGGTGGAAACTTCAGTGGATCAGTTGGTCAAGCCAACCCACCGATAGTTAGGCAAGATAACCGCGATGGAAGGAATGATGGAATGGGATGCAAGTACAAGGACTTTTTGACTTGCAAACCATCGACCTTCAATGGAAAGGAGGATCCGATTGGGGTTATGGATTGGATCTCCGAAATGGAGCTAGCCTTCATGACGTGTGGCTGCAGAGGTAAGTTGCAAACCATCTATGCTGCGTCAATTCCGAGGTGGAGCCGTTCGTTGGTGGAACACTCTAGGGAAGACTTTGAGCCCTAATGAGCCACTGCAATTGTCATGGGCAGAGTTCTTGGTGCAGTTTAAGCGCAAGTTCTGCTCGGCTCAAAATCTGTTGGAGTTGGAGAACAAGTTCCTGACATTGACTAAGGGCAGTATGTCAGTTGATGAATACACCAATAACTTCACCGATAAGATGGAGTTTGCCTTGCGTATCGTTCCAGACGAGCTGACGAAGGTGGACCGGTATGCGAAGGGACTCCCATGGGAGTATGAGGTGCCAGTACGTCAGGCACATACTTTAGAGGCAGCTATCTGGGCTGCCAAGTCTGTTGAGAACATGATAAAGGGGAGAACCACCAACAAGGTTGAGGTTGGTGAGAAGAGGAAGTTTGAGGGAACATCTGGTTCCGGTAAGAAAAGCAAATTTTCGAAATCTGATTCGAAAAGGTTTGGTGGGGGAAAGGAGGGAGAAGCGAAGTGGTGTGAAAAGTGTAAGAAAAAGCACTTTGGGAAATGTAGCGAGGATGTAACTTGCTACAAGTGTGGAAAGGTTGGACATTTTGCCAATGAATGTCCGAACAACAAAAGGATGTGTTTTGGTTGTAATGAAGAGGGGCATATTTTGAAAGACTGTCCGAAGAAGAAGGAGGCAGCTAAGCCCAACATTCCACCAAAGCCGAAGGCGAGAGCATTCCAGATGACACTGGAAGCTGCTAAGGATGAAGCTGATGTCGCTTCAGGTACCTTTCTCGTTAACAATTTGCCTGCCCAAATTTTATTTGATTCTGGAGCCAACTACTCCTTTATATCGCATGAATTTGGTAGAAAACTAGCTTTGCCTGTTGATAGACTAGATAATGCTTTATTAGTCGAAGTTGCTAGTGGCAAGTTTGTACCTGTTAGCCATCGTATGAAAAACATCTTAATCGACTTGAATGGGAATAAGTTCCACGAGGAATTATTGCCTATCGAACTTAATGGTTTCGAC